AACAGCAGCATCCAGTTACTATATGTTTTTAACTGGTTAAAGTGAAATTGAACTGAATCCAAACCTGCTCTCAAACAAAAATCAGCTGTAAATTAAAAATCTAATTTAGAAAAAAAGTGAATGAAAGCCTATTGCTATTTCTGCTTTTCACAGTAACTGATTACAGGTTGGCTTCTATCTCCATTAGCTGGATTCTGCTGAGTATCATTGAAAATGAAAAAATAAGCTAAACGAAAACAAACAAAACTGGTCAACACTGGTCAGAAGGCTGCTACAATTTTAATTCCAGACTTAATATTCATGTGACCGATTAGCAAAAAGCTGTTGACCTGTAGTAGAGTGATTTATCATTGGTGTGTCTGATGTAATCAAGCCTTGTGTGTGTTCATGTTCAAAGGGAACTGGGGATTGTATACTATATTTTAGGATTAGCACATGTACAGTTCCATACATGAAGCACCTCAAGACCTCGTCCATACGCACTCATACAATAACATGCATTTCTGCAAGGGAGCTCTGTGAAAGCACAAACTGACAACTTTACTCGGTGCAGCTTTGAAGGAAAGCCATTGTTATTTATTTATTAGTTTGTCCAACATCGTTTTGTGTGTCAGACCTGCTGCATTATGGTTTAAATGAACTGCACATGTCATGAGCTAATGTATGTAAAGGACATGTTCAAGTTTTTTGGGCCATTAACTCATCAACAGCTAGTAAAACCAGGGAATAATTTGTAAAAATTATATCACAATTTTTTTGTGTATAGTTTTTTTTAGTCTGCAGCATCACTCATGCAGTGCTGCACATCTCATGTTTCTATTGACCACACAAACTCCCTACAACACTAAATGACGGTCAGACTGATGAGTTTTTTACTGTATCTTAATGCTTCATATCTCAAATTAATTTAGCTCAGATTCTACATATATCTGCTGTCTTATTGCTTTATGTAATTTGTTTACATTTATGAGGCATTTCTGTCACACCACTGACACTTTTATTTATAATTATCATGCAGCATTTTGTCTGGATGAGTAATATTGACACTATTTCATATCAACAGTGAGGTACAACCCACTTGGCTCAAAGTATCAGCCTTTTTTTAGGAGCTGTACATGTACACATTATTCTCTCCATATAATCTTATTAATATGCTAACTGATGTGATTGTTCCTCACTATGATGGAAATTGACTGACATTGTCTCCTTGTGTAAAATGTATTTCATAGTCCTGAGATGAAGTCCATGGGCCAATGATACAACATATGCAAACACAAAATATATGTATTAACTTATTAGCAACCAGAAACTGAAGCAATTCTCAATTTTTTGATTGGGTTTGAGGTTTTCACAAGACGCTAATATGATCCTGTAACATCCTCACCTTCCAGCTTTGTGTTACTGAAAGAGTTTTTTCCTGTAAAACCCCATTGAGATATTCTGATATCTGACCTTTGTTATCGGTTCAAAAATGTGTTTAAAATCTATTTTAACACGCAAATTGAGCATATTTGCCTTCACATGTTCATGAACTGTTTAAGGTCATTACTGTTTTCATGCTCTCTCTCGCTCTCTCTCTCTGTTTTAGATGAAGGATTAGATCATTTTTGGTTGTCATTAATCCTTGTTAACCATAATAATGTTTTCTCCCTCTGCTTGACATCATTATTTCCCAGGATTCTCAGTTTGTTCATGTGTGTTGAGGATGTTGACTGAATACTGATCAGTGGAAAAAGAGTATGACTGCTATAAAGTGCTGTTTCTTCAACTGGTTTGGGACCCAGAATGGATCACATCCCTGAACATGACACTGGGTCTCAGGCTGAAAATGTTGAACTCTCATCTAGAGGCTACTGCTTTCTTTGGTGACTTACCAGACACAGGAGGTGTGTAGTGTGTGCTTCTTTATTTATACTGAGGACTTGTGAAATAACCCTCATTAGCTCCCCTCGCTGACTGAATTCTCTATCTGCAATCTTATGGCTATGTTAAAAAGCTAACCTCTATATTGTAGTCAATGGATGTGTGTTGTTTGAAGTCGTGGTATGTATGGAAGTGATCAGATTTGGATACAGACTACTGTACGTTATGTGTTTGCCTGTCTGCTGTTCAAGTATTACTAAATTGTGTAAACGTTCTGTTCATGTGCTCCTTTTCAGTTCTGTTTACCGTTACAGGATGTACATAATGATCAAGTGCAGTGCACAAAAATAAATAGTAAACAGAAAACAGGAGCTGTGCGCAGCATTCATCAGGTTTCATGCGTCTCTGTGTGTTTCTCCCTTTGATCACTAGATGGTAGCAGCGTAAAAGACATGAGGTGCACTGCTATATGGCTATTGGTGGAACAAGTACTCAGGTCATTTACTTAAGTAAAAGTACCAGTACAGCAATCTAAAACTAACCCATTACAAGTAAAAGTCCTTCACATAAAATCTTACAGAAGTATTATCAGCAAAAGTAAAGCAAAGTACAAGTACTTTTTCTAAAGCTGGTTGAGGTGGAACTAGTTTTAATAATGTTAAATTGCCAGGTATTTTAGTTTAGTGGTTCCCAATTTAGTGTCTGGCCCCCTTCATAGTATCAGAAGATATAGGAGGGGAAATGCTAACACCCTGGAAGTGCTAAAAACATCTGAAATGTGACAGGGGCCCGACCAGACACTGATTTTTGCTTTAAGTTTGATATTTTGCAATGCATTGTATTTTATGCTTATATGTTTTTAATGCAAAGTCCTCATCTGAAAAGTACCTAACTACAGCTGGAAAAGTGGAGTAGAAATATAAAGTAGCACAAGATGTAAATAGTCAAGTGACAGTACTTGAATAAATGTTCTTTGTTACTGTACTTTCAAACTCTGTGCTTAGTGCTTACAGGATATCACTCAAAAACTGTAACTTTTCTGTTAATCAGTATATTATCATATACTGATTAATATATCATCCACAAGTAGGTTGGAAAAAAAAATATTTATTTGTCCTTTTATTTCTAAAGTCAATGTGCAACAACATTTATTTAAACATATCAGAAATGTCTGCTTTGCTTTATGTAGTGATTTTAATGTTGGAGTGGAGGTGCAGCATTTCAACACTGATGCTGAAAGCTTATTATAACAATGTGCTGTACTACAATGCTGCAGTTCACTACGTGTTTAACTCCTCTCATATGTGACCAGTTATGGGGTTGATAAGTTTTCCCCTGGGGCTCAGATCCGGGAAAAACAGGACTGCAGTGTCAGTGTTTGACTACCCAGAAGGAAATTTAGGGTAATTGAAAATACCCCCTACCCAATCAGTGATTCATTGTAAAATAAGGTTACGGCTGCACTCTTCAGTTTTTCCTTCCTCTAACTTGCTCTGCTGACAGTGCTGACGCACTTCCTGAGACAGAATCAGCACTAATGGATGTAGACCATTAGAAGAGGCTGGTGTTTTATTTTTCATGTAATCCTACACCATTAGGCACAAGTCTCATCAACACACACGCACACACACACAAAGAGTTTCAAATATGCATCGAGATACCAGTGGGGACATGGATGTCCTTTGAGGTGAGTTGAATGTAATCAAGAATGTTAACACATTCATGAATGTTACCACAAAAGGTAAAAGGTGCTGCTGGAATTAAAACACTCTCACACTCAAAAGTGTTTTTCATCTTGGTCCTCCAGTTGGATGTTTGATCTTCACAGTGTAGAATGAAGTATGTGCAGATTTTGACACTAGAAGGATGTTTTCACATTCTGAAATCTGATGAAAGTGGGAAGTTTCTCTGTGCTCGCTGAAAATCAGATTTTAAGGGCTTGATTTGTAACACAAATAGTTTAGATAGATTTAATGGAAGAGGTCAGATTTAAAGCCACGCTGTATGGGAAGTGACAGTGTTTTGAATAAATACGGTGTTCCCTCGGACAGGGTGCACCTTGCTTTCACAAACTGACAGATGACATTTAATCGAGAGAACATTGTTGTTAAGCATCAAGACTGTTGCCCTAGAGAAGCTGTGAAGTTGTGAAGGTGGATACTAAATAAATAATGCATCTCACTCTGTCAGGCACTATTGTCAATTTACCCATGAAAGCACTTAACCTCTAAGTGCTTCACTGGTCACTGGATAAAAGACCTCCTGCTTGAACCTGCTGCGACTGACTTTGCGTAACTGTGCTCCAGTGAAACCGGATATGTCTGCATGTACTGCTTTGTTTATTTTGTAAAAAACAAAATAAATATGTTTCTAAAAAAAAAAAGAAGCAAACTTCAGGGTTGTTGTGCAAGCACACTGTGTACTCTTGTTATCTTAAAGTCAGATGACTGGCTGAGAAATTCGTATGTCTCCAGAGACACCACTCCTCCAGTCTGGGAACTCATTAGGAACATAAAAAAACATATGGCCTCTCCAGTGAACGGTCATTAAAAAAATACTGTACACTTGGATTTGGGGATGGTTAATTTGTTTGAAACATATTTGGTAGTATCTTTTTTGGTGTCACAGCTCTTTTGTGTTGTGTGCTGTGAATAGTGTAATTGTGCCGGAGACAGAGCTTTGTATCAAAGCTAAACAGCATAAATACACATTTATATAAAATAGACTATAAAAGTGATAACAAGAGTCTACAGTCATGCTAGTAGCTCTGTTAGACTGTACAGTAAATGCTAACATCAGCATGCTAACAC